ACTATAGAAAACTCATTTTTTATTTTAAAAAAGGACGAAGAGCGCCTGGTCTCCTGATCCGACAAGACAACACCAAACCCGATTGTAAGGTGGTTCGATCCCCCCGCCCCAATTGTAAGCGGTTAAAAAAAAAACAAAAAACAAAAAGCTTTCACGGGATGTTATTGAGATTCGTGTCAGAGTAGAAGGGAATATTGGCGCAGGGGCAAAAGGCCTAAGGAGCAAAGGTTCGTCTCAATAACATCTCGTGAAAGTTCTGTCATTTTTTTTTTTATAGCAGGGAATTTTGAACGAGAGAAATCTGGATAAAGAAAAAGAACTCAAGTTTTAGGTGTTTATGGTGTTTTAGGTGTTCGAACACGTTTTTCATTCGAATAATCAATAAGTTGCTACATGCTGCACAAAGTTCTGTCATTTTTTTTAATAAAAAATAAGTTTTCTTCGATATTTGTAAATTACTATAAATATGAGTTATTAATAATTTTAAAATTAGAATACAGAGGTGAGAGAATAAAACACCAAGAGATTGAGATGATGAGATTTTTCTACTTAAGAGTGTTGAGAGAGGCTTTTTGAGGTAGAGGTGATTTATTAGAATTTCTTAGATGTTATCGAGAGCTTTTAGACCTGCGAAAAAATATGTCTTTGTGAAAAATTAAGTAAAAGTTTTTGAAAGAGATTAAGAGTTGTTAGAGAAAATTAAAATTGAGGTTTTAATATTGTAATTTTTTTAATAATAAAATTTTCTCTTTATCTATGTAATTTTTCCCTCACTTCAGAGAGTTTTTCATGTATTCTTCTTCTATATTATTTTGCTTTATTATTTAATCCACTTACGTAACTTTGTAATTATATTCCTCATTAATAAGCAATGGTGGTAATTAAATTCCAACAATGATATAAATGCTTCGAGATGGGGATTTATCCCCAACATTTTTCACTCACCTGTTAAGCTAAATCCTTTCGTATTGGTTCCATCAATTGCAACAGAATCATGAAGATCACACCTACCAACAACAACACAAGAACCCCATATCACAGTGAGAAGCATCACAGTTGACCCAGCAAGCAACCCCATTCCAATAGACACCTGACTTTGAGCAGTTTCTGCTGTTCCAGAGAGTCCAGATACTGGGAAGAAAAAGAAAAAGAATCAATAAAGAGCTTTTTTTTTTTTTTTTTTTAATTTTATTTTGATTAGATATAATCATTTTTCATCCCTTATTCCTCCTTATTCCTATGTTTTGCAACTCAAATAAGATTTCTTAATTTCGATTAAAGAAATTAACCATTGATTTATTTAATTAGTTAACATCCTAAATGACCAAGAAAAGGGTGAAATTTCTAGGGATAGGAAATTATAAATACGAGGCACAATGGTATCAAAGGAAAGTTTCTAATCCAAGTATTTTCTACGCCTCTGGGTTTTTATCGATTTTAAATAAGCGGCCCATGTTTAAAAGAGGAACCACAACACCACTACTTGGGTCGAGAAACATAATCAAGATTAAATTTAAACTTGAATTAAATGAATGTATAAAATATTAAAATAAATAACTCTGGGGCCTAGAGTGTGGTTGCAAAAGGTACACCCAACGAGAGCAAATAATGTTAATAAATTGTGACTGTCAATTTTCACACAAACTTGTATCTACCGGGCCTGAACTGTCATTAAATCCAAATTAATATCTAATTAAAATAAAAATATTTTACTTTTGAACATAACAAAAATAATTAGTATTAAGTACCGAGAATAAGCACAGCGTCAGGGAGAGCGCCGAGCATGGGCAGGAAAAGGCCTCCGATAATCCCAGGACCGAGGATCTCCAGCAGCAGCTCACTGCCCTTGGACAAGTAGGTGGCGGACAAGTACATTAGGTATCCATAGACGATAATCAAGAAGATGTTACCGAGAGCGGTGGTGGTGCACGGCATGAACCCGTAGGTCTGCTCACAGGACGACTCCTCGGCAGAAAATGGCTTGAGGAGAAGGCAAGGCGAGCCGCTTGACAGATCATGGACTCCATCGGAGATGAGGTCGGAAGTGAAGAGGAATCGGCGGCGGCTGTGAGCTGGGATGCAGAGGAGGAAGAGAAGGAAGAAGAGAGAGGAGGAAAACAGGAGGCGGCGAGGCATGGTGGTAAGTTGACTGGGAAGTCAGCGAAGGTAGCTCAAGATAAGTTCGGACAAAATAGGTGTGTCGTTTATAAATAATTAAATGTTGTATGTGCTTTGGAGGA